GACAGGGAATGGGGAGTGGATCACTCCAATACTTGGATCACTAAACCATCCCCTCTGACTAATATTAGTTATTTATTTTTGTGATGTCCTGTGAGAAATGAACATTTCTTTATAAATGCTAAGTATTTTACTGATTATGATAAAAACAGAAAAAAATTCTACAGTTAAGTAATTTATATGAACCTGATCATTGCACATTATAAATGACACCCCTTGACTTGTGAAGGTGAAAAATATGGGGAAGGGAAGAGTTTTGATATAAACATTAGAGAATCCCTCCTGCTGGAAATGCAGAAAATTATCTGTTTTTTAAAGTCTGTTTTCAGGTAGGTTGTTTACAATGATTTTTATTGCATTTGATGTTTTACAGATAGGATAGAAAATAAAATAAATTGCACACAATGAAGGGATTGGTAAGAAAAATAAGTACAAATGTTGTAATGCTGTCCCTCATTCTCCCACCCAATTTTCCTTCCATGCAAAAAGACAACAAGACGTGATGAAACAGAGACTCAGTGCATCAAAGGAGCCCCAATTTGCAAACATGATATGAGTCATTTTATGCACGTGAGCAGTGCCATTGAATTCAATGTGACTACTCACATGAACAAAGTTACTCATGTACATAAGGGCTTGTCTACAATGGAAAATTTAACCAGTTCTACCGGTATGACTATACTGGTATAATGAAACCAATAAACCCCTTCCAAAGCAGCATAAATTAAACTGAAAAAAGGTGCTCTTATTCTGGAATAAGAGAGTCCACATGTGGACTTATATTGGCATAGTGGTTTAAATTCACACCTTAGGAAAGTTATTCCAGTATAATCTGTATAGACAAGTCCTAAGTGTTTGCAGGCCTGGAACCCACAAATCTGTTTTCAGATTTTAATATTTATAACAAAAGGTGCTAATGGCTTGCCAAGCACCTGAATCCATATTAAGATGATTGTGTGGGTTAATTAAAGCATTCTCTTTTGTCTGGCTTTTAATGCTGTGAGATTCCTTTGTGTAGAACCCCGGGCTCACCTTTGAAAGCCTGTGGCCACAGAGGAGAAGCTTTGAGTTATGTTTCCCAGCTGTAAAACTCAGGGTTTGGGTCAGGAAGTGAGAACATTTGTGAGAGCCCAGAAAGACAGAAGTCCAAAACATTTTTAGGGACAGGGAAGTGGTGCCTTGTGTGAGGTTCCTGCAAAAGGGATTTTTGTGTAGTCTGTTACCACTTCTGTTCAAGAAAATAGAATGTGTGTACATTTTGTAAATAAATCATACTAGAAAAATACCTGACTCCACATTGCCAATTTCTGCTTCAAACAGGAAACTGATCTGCAATGACCCTATTCAGCTACTGCCTGGCAACAGGGTAACACAGTAAATCGCACAAGGGAGGCAGGTTTCTAGTGGTTTGAGCTAATGAATTGGAATCAGGTCTAGTCCCAATTTTGCCTGAGGATCACCTTGGACAAGTCACTTGCCCTATCCTGCTTAGAATGGAGCCTGTGATTCTGGTGCATAGGGGCAAGATTTGGAGAGCATAAGCAGTGGGAAGTGGATATCCTGTGTAAACCATGAAGTTTTGCTCCAAGACCTCCCTCCACCCCCTCCTCTGCACTGACCTGCAAAAAAGGATTTGGGGACAAGAAAAGGGTATGGGAACTGCTTTTTATGAGGATCTGTTGGGAATTTCCACTCCACCATGTACAGGGATAATAGGTGCTTCAGAAAAGATTCCATCCCTGAAAAAATAGCAGATGGGGAGCAGCTCCATGAGCTGGGGCACTCCTGACATACAACCCAGCTTCCTAGGCTAGGTGAATTTCACTCCTGTGCAGAGAGCCAGCATAAAGCCTATATGCCAGTTATTACAAAAAACTAGGGCTTAATTGGGAGTCATCTGGTGCATAGCCTTCATGCTGTTCTTCTTCACAGGGGTGAATTGTATGTGCTGGGGCCAGAATTTGGGTCTTAACCTCAGTTCCTCCACCTGTAAAATGGGGATAATATTTACCCAACCTTTTAAAACTCTTTGAGGTCCTCAGATAAAAGTTGCATGTATGTTCATTAAAATTCAAGAGCAACTACTGTATAAATGACTGTAATGGCTTTTGATCTAGCTGTCTATTTAGAGAAAACCAGCACTTAATACATATCCAATTGTGCAACTATATATGCCAGATTTTCACATAAGGAGACATTTAGTATTGGTATATGATAGAGATATCCTGTAATTATCTGTGCTATATTCGCTGCTTGTCTGCTTTGGAATTTTAATGAGTAGGAATGCCATTCATGGACATTTTTAGAAACGCAGAGAGCATAATAGGACTTTAAGGCCCAATCTAGTATTTCTTGTACACTCCAAACACCTACTTTAACAGCTTTAGATTAGCCAGACATGCAGGATCAGGCCCTTATTTGTACCATTCCTACACCCCATATGCCAGACACAGTTCAATGATACAGTCAGAGAGACAAATGGCAGAGGAGACGGTAAGAAATATGGAAAGGAGAAAATATGTGATTTCAGTTGAGATTTGAAATAAGGTGGAAAGTCAGTGACATGGAAAGATGGAGAAAAGTTGTTTGAGAGGCTAGGTGATGTAAAGTAAAAAACTCTTTTATGTGTACTTGTGGCACCTTAGAGACTAACAAATTTATTAGAGCATAAGCTTTCGTGGGCTACAGCCCACTTCTTTGGATGCATACCATACTAACACAGCTGCTACTCTGAAATCTTTTATGTGTGTTGAGGGACAGAGAGGAGGCCTGAGCTAGATGAAGAGAGCAAGACAGGCAGGGAAATAGAATGAGTCTAGGAAATATAAAGCAGATAAATAGTTCCAGAAGATATTGCACACAGATATGCAAGTTTGAGGCTCAGGTTTTTTTTGCTCCTTGACTAATTGGGGCATGCTCAGCTTTTGGGTGCAGGGAGACTTGTGTCAATCGGCAACAATTCCCCAGGTTGGTTTCAGGAATGGACCTGACGATCAAAAAACAAAAAAACAAAACAAAACAGCCCAACAACCAAGCCCTGCCTGATGAGTGGCAATTTCATACCCTTGTGTCCCCTGTGGTAGAGTAGACAGAATTTGATAGTATTGATTATAAAGGAAATTCTTTATTGAATCTGTTGGACACAGAGAAGACCATTTCATTCTTCCTGGCTTTCTAGCAACCAGGCTGACTAGTGTCACTACAGGAGGTCCTGGCCTGGACAGACATGAGGGGACTGCTGACTACAGCAACCCCCCAGAAGCTACATGCTTCTGGTCTTGCTGGGAGGGAGAATTGTCACAGCAACATGGCCTTGCGGTTGGTAGTGAAGAGGGGAGGATCAGGGATGAGGGGGCAGTTCAGGGAATCAAAAAAGTCTCAGTAGATGCTTGAAGAAAAAACAACATCCTAAAATGAAATTTATGGCATGTAGTGCGCAGGGTGATTGCAAAGTACTTGCAGCTCTGTCAGGGAGGTAGTGGGACCAAGAGCAGGGCTTTCGCACCTTTCCCAGGGACAAGCCCTTTGTTTCCACACAAAGGCCTCATGCCTGTCCACATGAGCTGCCATGCAGTAGGCACTGACCCTGTCATTATGACATACCTTCCACTTGCACCCATTTAGATGGCAAGGCACCTGCAGGACCTGCCTTTCAGGTCACATCCCCAGTTCCTTAGGCAGAGGAGGTTTGGGTGTTGTTGGTATCTACATGTTAAAACGTGCTTCCTAGGTGGCAGGAAACTGCACTTTGGGCATGGGCGGCGTGTATAATAGTCCAGGAGAGGCTAAGCCTCCCCCGTGCAGCCTCTGCCGACCTGCCACGAGATGCTTGGCTGTGGTGGCCCCGCCTGCACTCCACCTCTTCCTGTCCCTGCTCTGCCCCTTCCCCAAGGTCCCCACTGTCCGCGACTGTCTGGGGAGTCCCTCCCCTCCTCCACTCCACTCCCCCTCTTGCCACAATCCCCCTCCCCCATGAGGCCCCCCTGCCCCGCATCCCTCCTCTCCTCCACACCCCTCCCCTGCAAGACCCCCATCTGCCGCATCCCTCCTAAGCACCATCCCCTGTGAGACACCCCCACCACATCCTTCTTCCACCCTCTCCCGCCACATCCCTCCTCTCCTTCATCCCCCTGCTCCCATGAGACCCCTCCCACGCACCATGTCCCTCCTCTCCTCCATTCCCTTGCCCCACAAATAGGGTTGCCAACCCTCTATGATTGGCCTGGAGTCTCCAGGAATTAAAGATTAATCTTTAATTAAAGATTATGTCATATGAAGCAACCTCTAGGAATATGTCCAACCAAAACTGGCAACCCTCCCCATAAACCCTCCCCGGCTCACCACATCCCTCTGCTTGGGAGTAGAGTGAGCGTTGGGGGTGTGTGTGCGTGTGCAGTCAGGGAGAGTGACGACGAAGGAGGCGCCAGGGGAGAGCCTGGGGGTGCAGTAGCCAGGTGTGGGGGTGAGGGGCTAGGCCCGGGGGCAGAGTGCATAGGCCCTGGAGTTGCAATGAGGGAGATGAGGATGCCCAGTGGATGGCGGCCCGGGAGATGAGCAGGTGCACGGCCCAGGCAGACACAGAGCGTGGCTGCAGGGAAGGAGGTGAGGGGTTGGAGGGTATCACAGCTCTCTGCTCTGGACTCCCCTGGTGTGCCCTCCCCTTGCCCAGCCCCTCCCTCCAATACAGTGGCAGCAGGTGCTCCCCCTGACTGTAGGGGAGGGGGTCCCTCTGAATCGCCTGACCTAGATAGAAAATGTGGGGGGGGGAGACACAGGAATGGAACCTCCCCCCGGAGGAACAAGGGGTGGGGCGGAGCTTGCAGGCCAGGGGCGGGGCTACAGCGGAGCGGGCGGGGCTAACAGCAAAACGACAGCCGATAAGGCGGGGCTACGCGAGCAGCCGGCTTCGTTGTAGTGGCGCCTTCCCAGTCGAAGGCGGAGCCAGGGGGATGTGGGGCGGGGCCTCCACGAAGGCCCCAGCTCCACTTCCCGAGGCGGTGAGTACGGGGCTCTCAGTCGGGCCCGAGCGAGCCGCCCCCTCAGCGGGGAGCGGGGCCGGATCTCCACCCTCCGGCCTGTGCCCGCCGCTCCGTCCCGTCCAGACCGTGACGTGTCAGCGGGGCTGGGCCTTGGGGGCTCCCGCGGAGCGGGGGAGGCCCCCGAGCCTGTGTCTGCGCCGGGCTGGCCCAGGCCGGGCTCCAGGCTGCCTCACGGGCGGATAACGTGTCTCTGTCAGCGTTTTATTTGGGCGGTTACATTTTCCTGGCGCGCGGGGGTGGGGTGTGAGGCGAGAATTATGGCGTGGCAGTGGCAGTTGGGATTCAAAAAAGGGAGCGCTCTGAAACACAAACTGTCCCCGTAGCTTGTCACACGTACAAAGTAAAGAGCCTTCAATCAAACGCTCCTAAGTTCTCAAGCAGCAGTTTTCTTACGTTGCTTCTCTGTAAATGTGGTTTTGTGTGTGTGTGTGTGTGGGGGTGGGGGGGTCGTCATCGATGGAAATATGTTTTTGGTTGGTTCATGTGTGTCAGGTGAAATCAACATTTACTGATGAAAAATCAAATCCTCCCAAGCCTAGTACTACGTTACTCAGGTGTAGGGTGACCAGATAGCAAGTGTGAGAAATCGGGATGGGTTGGGGGCTAATAGGTGCCTATGTAAGAAAAAGCTCCAAACATCGGGACTGTTCCTGTAAAATTGGGACATCTGGTCACCCTAGAGTCAGGTGGCCTTGTCAAAGTATCTATTTATAAGTGAATCTCCTAAGGATTCCTAAAATGCCTATTGCCCTAGTGTCTAGGTGCTACACTGCTTTAATATGAACAATGAAGCTTGATGGGACAGGCTCCTCTCTTGTGCAAAATAAACTTCCTTTATAATGTTGCAGATTGAGGTTTTCAGTAATTTTGAAGTCTTTGCTCATTCTTGCACTTTGACTGCACAACCGCAGAAAACTTCCTTTTTAAGATCCACATCAAATGGAGCTGTAGTTATGAACCATGTTAATTAGGATAGCTTGCAGAAGGGTAACGTACAGAGGAAGTGATAGTTGCCTCCTTGACTGAGGTGTAAAAAGTTAGTAATCTATGAAGTATATTGGATCTTTTGCTGTCTTTTTGAATGAACAGTTAAGAGCCCTGGCTTCTCTACCAGGTCTGATAACACCCAGATTATTGATATACAAATAGCTTGAGTGTTCAGTAAGGTTTTTGCTTGTGGAGAGGTGGTTTAGTGGCAATTAACGTCTTTGAGGGAGGTTCTGTATCTGGCAGTTGACATTGCATCAACTTTGTTTTGTGCACAAAAGTACATGCACCTAAAAAGCATGATAGGTGCATTTTATAAATTCAAAATTAGATGATAAAAGTATTCCTCCTCCTGACAGTAAAGGATACAAATATTTAAAATAGCAAAATCCACATAACCATATTGTTACCAGTTTTTTACACCTTCTGAATAAAGGACACCAGCAAGCAGCTATCCTTTGAAACAATCATTTTAATGTCTTGTCTTTAAGAAAAAGAGACCATGAGGAATCTCTTTCCTACACTTTCAGTTGCAAAGTTTAATATCTTTTTGTGCAGTTTAAAACAGTGTTATAATAAGTACATAATAGAAGATGGTTGTAATTCTGAGACTGTTGGCAAACAAGAAGTAGGATATTTCTGTTCAGCTAAAGTAAATTCATAATTCAGGAATTGCTTTACTTGTTATATTGTTAAGATCTCTACAATAATGCCTCTTTTGTTTCAGGGTGAATAAACAAAGGAGAAATGAATGCCATTTGCAGCTTAAAGATAGCTGGTAGGAACTGCATTTTATTTCGTTTAACTTCTTTGGCCAGTCAGGCAAAGTGCAATAAGCTTTATAAGTCTTCAGTTGAAGCTTTGAATGGACATCACCAGATTCAAATAAATCGGATAGTGGATAAATGCCAGCGAATAAATACAAGCAGCAACACCAGCTATTATTTTATGATTGGAAGCTCTAACTTCTACAGAAAATGTATTAATAAAAGCCAAAGATGTTTTTTGAATGCCAAGAATATAAAAGTGTGCACAAACATACACAGTAGCTGTAGAAGTTCTTGTTTCCTGGCCTCTCAGCCGTTAGTGGAAGAGTTTGCATTATTCCGAAGTCTTGCTCCAGTGCAGTCCCCAGATCGCATTCCTGCTTGGGATGTTCAGATCATCAGGCTTTTTCACACATCATCATCATTTCAGGCTGCTCCAGTGCCTCTATTGTGGATTATTCTTAAACCGGCTCAGAAGTTAGTTGCTATCATTCTTGGAAGGTAAAATGCTGTTTTATTTTCTTTGACAGTAAGACCCTATCCTTCAAAGACTTACATATGTGTGTAATGTTATGCACAGTGAGTAATCTCATTAATGTTAATGGGACTACTCAGTGTGTGTAAAATTGAACACTTGTTTGTAAAGCTTTGCAGCATTTGGGGTTAAGGTTGGTAATTTTTTTTTGTTTTTATTATTTTATCACAATTTTCAAACCGCAACAGGGTCCATATACCAATCAGACTAAAATGGTTATAAACTGGGAGGACCTCTCTCTCCTGTGGTTTTGTTTTAGAAAATGCACCTGTTTCAGACCGTTACAATCAATCACTATTGATTGTGAGAGTAGCTAACACAATTCTGACATGTTGACTTCAGGCTGGAGGTAAAGTGGGGGTGCTCAGATTCCCTGGCTGCAGCCTAAGCTGAATTTACAAATGTACCACATGGTTTAAGTTGGATTCTGATTGTGCAGCTCCTGCATAGAAATAGAAATTCATTCTCTCCTGTATGCGTAATAAGATTCAATATGTGCATCCTGTTGTATGTACTTATTTTTGATCAGCCCTTGCTGATTGTGTCTTGCAAATCCATTCAAGGAATACCAGGGTGAAAAATCCTTCATTCAGATGTTCTCAAAAAAAAAAAAAATCCCAACATGCTATTTTTAACCAGATCAAAAAGATAAAGATTGGAATGGTTCCTATTAAAAAAGGAAGCATCTACCTTATGAGACATTCCTGTTCCTTGAAGAAAATATTGTGCTGAACTGGCAGAATACATACTACTTAATGATTCTCTTGACTCTTTCATCCAAGGATATCCTAGCACTTTACAAATGTTAATGTATACAGCCCCTCCTCACTTGTGTGAGGCACTATACCCACTTTACAATGTACAACGTTTGTGTCTTGCAGGAGCATCAGAAAATGGTGGAGGGCACTGCCTCCTAACAAGCGGGAACTTTTTAAAGAAAGTGCGAGAAAAAACAAATGGAAGATAGTTGTGGGTCTGTGTAGCTTGGCGGTTTTATTTATTATATTTTATTTTACTCACTTGGAGGAAACACCAATCACTGGGCGTGCTCGACTGTTGGTATTCGGGAAGGAACATTTTAGGATATTGTCACAAATGGAGTATGATATGGTGAGTTGTCCGAAAGAAAACAAGCCCTCCTCATTTCACACACACACAAATCACGTTTCTGCTCATTGATGTGTGTCACAACCCTGGTCGGGCTCCCCCTTCTGGCCACTCACTAGCCTTCTGTTTGGGTACTGACATATTGGGCCCATCTGCTCTTAAACTTCCCTTTGTCTGGGTAGGATCCAGCACTGTCTCTTTTTTTAGCTACACTGGCACATTTCCTGGGCACAGACTTGGTCTGTTACCTCTTCATGGAAGTGGGACCTCATCGGTTGGCTGTCCTAAGCCCCCAGGTCAGTGCAGAGCCCCCAAGACACCCTCTAGTTTAAACACACCCTTTCCCAAAGCTTCAGCCTTGTGGGCGCTTTGATTTATAGTTTACTTTTCCAGGATCACATGATAGTTAAAACATATCAAACAGTCTTTACAACGATTTCTAACATAGCACACGAGAGAGAAAAATCTGAGTAATAATATAATAAAATGCCTATGTGCTGTTCCCTGCCTAAGTTTCCTCACCACTCTTGAGCCTTTTGGGGGATTTGGTCAGAGTACTCTAGGGCAGGGGTTCTCAACCTTCTTCTTTCTGAGCCCCCTCCCCCCCCCCAACATGCTATAAAAACTCCATGTTACAACAACTCTTTTTCTGCATATAACAGCCAGGGCCGGCATTAGGGGGTAGCAAGCTGGGGAATTGCCCATGGCCCCATGCCCCAGGGGCCTCCGAAGCTATATTGATCAGGCTTTGGCCCCAGATGGCAGGGCTCAGGGCCCTGGGCTTCAGCCCCATGCAGTGGGGCTTCGGCTTTCTGCCCTGGGCCCTAGCAAGTCTAATACTGGCCAGCTTGGTGGCACCCTGAAACCTGTTTGCGGTCCCCCAGGGGGCCCCGGACCCCTGGTTGAGAACTGCTGCTCTAGGGCATCCTACTCTTGCATTCAGCTTCTCTGAATTGTCCGTGAGGCAGTGTCCGTGTCCTGCAGCCAGCTTCCTTCTGCTCTCTCTCCACATTGGCCAATGATTTTTGTACTAATATAGCCTAATTAATATCCAATCATTTGGTGTAAATTACTTCGCAGCATATATAAATGTTCAATTTTATTACATCCAGTACACAACAATTAGCATAGAGTTGTGAAAAACTGAGCTCTACTGCTTTCCTTGGATGATTGAGTTGGTGTATATAAGAGAAAAGAGCACATGGGAACTGGATTGTAAATATATTGTCTGGAACAAAACTTTTACTGTGGTACACTGATATGGCATATAAGTGTAACAGCTAGCCTCCAGACTGCATTATTTATTCTGTATAGACATCAACAAATTGTCTCTTTCAGTGGACGGAACAGTTTAAAAATCAGATGTTATCCGAGACAGACCCTCGCTATCAGGTAGTGAAAAAAGTTATTGGTCATTTATCTGAAAGCAACCAGGACATCCCGCAGATCTCGGAGTTCAAGTGGGCTATCCATGTGGTGGAAGAACCAGGCATAAATGCTTTTGTACTTCCAGTAAGTAAAATCCAAAAGCAAAAGTAAGCAATATTGAAGAATGCAACTTGTTTACACAGTTCCTATGCTATCTTACGATATGTGTTTTTTCTTTTTGTTCACAGAATGGCCAAGTATTTGTTTTCACTGGTTTGCTAAATGTGGTGTCAGATATTCACCAGCTCTATTTCATTTTGGGACATGAAATAGCTCATGCTGTATTGGGACATGCAGTAAGTACCCTTAAAAAAAAAAAGTTAATATATAAATCAAAGTCTCAGGCTGCTTCCTCAAACTGAATAAAGAATTTGGTTTAAAGGTTGACTGTCCTGATCCAGCACATATTGCTGTGCCGTTTTAATCAATGTTGGAGCTATACCTGCTAGAGACTGTTGGCAGGATCAGTCCCTAAGAGAGGCTTCCATTCCATTACAAAATAGCAGTTAGGATTTGACCCTGAGAGATGGAGGCTTTGGGAGTTGTAGGTGCTCAGCACTTGACAAAATTGGGCCTTTAGTCCTTCTAAACATGTTGAATCCATAGATGTATTTAAAATGTCTTCTCAATTACAGGGAATTTGCAGTTCAGTAGCAAAGCCCTTAAAATTCCTTAGTTTTTAGGGTTGTTGGATAAGTCTTCACAGGGCCTAAAGTCTGACTCTGTTTGCAGATAACTGAGTGTGCTTGCAAATGTGAGCATGTACCATCTTGCGCATATCCCAAGCCTTAATGTGTTTATGGATGAACGGTAGTTCATCACTAGTTTTCATGCACAAACCGGGTATAATAGTCTTTCAGCTTTGAGAAAACAGGTTGGGAATAAAATCTTGGCCCTAGTTGTTCTAGATGAAGATATGTTTTCTGTTTAGACAAGCAGCAGTGTGGATAAATCAAGTCATTATAAGATGTAGCTGCGTCTGTGCCCCAAATTATTGCTTTCTTTAAATGCAACCTCTGCAGCTCTTATATCTGTACTTTCCCAGTCTAAAAACCCATTAACTTTCAACATAAAACTCCCCATAATTTTTCAAGGTTATTCTGGAGCTAGGTAAATAGCTCTCAAAAGCATTTGCAAACAAACCAGCTGATTTGTTTCACTGGCACCTGCAAACATTTCGGTGAACAAGAAGATTCATGCCAGAAGTGCTTGTGGTTATTTGAACAGTTAAAAATATTCATGGCTAATTTTATGTAGGAAAAAAGGGAACTTCTCCTGTTGTTGTAAAGCCTCAGTCATCCAATCAGGACCTGAGATACCATGTGATTTAGGTAACCAGTTTCCTGGAGTGAATAACCAATAGTCAGTGGTTCACAGAGCGACCATGTGCTAAACCTCACACAAACTGTTCACTAAACAAAGAAAAATAATTGTGACCCACACAACAGATTTGCATATGATCACATACAAAAAAAGGGCTTAATTCACCTGAAAAATAGTCATGCCTAGTTGATTTATAACTTGTAAAACTTTTAGTGGAAAGTTGCTACACAACTGTGATTGGTGCATTTGGGGAACAAATGTTACAAGGGTTAGCAGTATTCCCTTGCGGCTATTACTTGGGAGGGAGAAGTTATGCTGAATTATCTCTTTTTGATAGTGTTGCACCTATGAAAAGGAGAACAGAGAAATGAGGGCTGCAGTTTTTGAGAGAGAGAAACAGCTCTAACTTTTGGAATAGCTTTACATTGTAACAGAATTGAATTAAAGATTAAAATTGGCAAGATTGATGAAATTTGGGAGGAAGATGGTCTTAGCGGTTAGGGCGCTAGCCTGCATCTTGGAATATCTGAATTCAAGTCCCTTCTCTGCTACAGATTCTTTGTGTGAACTTAAGCAAGTCACTTAGTTGCTCTGTGTCTCAGTCCTCATTTGTAAAACAGAGATATTACTTCCCTACTTCACAGAGATATTGTGTGGATAAATGTTAGATTGAGAAATGCTCATATTACAATGATCAGGGCCTGTAAGCTGGTGGACCACTCAACCAGTATGTCAAGTAAAGCTCCCAACAGCAGAAGAATTTCAGTCCATTTTTTTCAGGGATGTGTTTGTTGTCAAAGTAGTCCAACACAAATCAAAACAGAAAAGCCAAGTCTGCCTGCCTGGCTCCTTCTAAAGCCTCTTCCACATAAGGATCCTGTCTCTGCCCACACACTTTATCTTCAGCTAGGCTGGTCTGGAGAGCCTGTTTCTCAGTCTTCTTTCCTGTTACTGGGTCTCCTGCAGTGCTCCTATGTGCTCTGAGCAAGTCTCTCCCTCTGTGTTGCTTGTTGGTCTTTTATTTGAGGACCAGGTTGTCTGCAGACAATCACCTGATACCTGACCTAAAACCCCTCACCTAGGAGACAGAATTATTCGCAATTGGGGCTAAGTCCACTTTTCTTAAAGGGTTATCCCACTCTGTGATGGCATTTTCTATCTTAGGTACATATATAATTATCTGTGTTAAATTCAGAAAAAATGCATGCAAGCAAGATCCAAGGGTAAATGATTGAAAACTTCGCTGTTTTTGTTTTCAGGCAGAGAAAGCCAGTCTGGTACATTTCTTGGATTTCCTGTCGCTTATCTTGCTCACTATGATTTGGGCAGTCTGTCCTCGAGATAGTTTGGCAATTGTAGGCCAGTTGATCCAGAGTAAGTTGCAGGAGGTAAGGCAGAGGCTGTGGCATTGTTGTACTGCTTCATTTATTTAACACTGGTTCAGTATGTAACACACTGTGACACTTTTGCTATAAATGCAGCTGAATATACTTTCTACTATTATTCAGGTAAGTTGTCATTTCTTAGTCATTTAGAAAACATTCCATTTGTAGTACTGGAGGATCACTGTGCCACCCAACTCTGTGTGTAAGAGGGGAGAGCAAAGAGTTATAATTGTATAATAAGTATTTGGGTTTTTTGAGAGAGCCATATTTTTATAAATAATTTCTAGTATTTCTACTTCATCTGATGCTGTATTGCAGGGGTCGGCAACCTTTCAGAAGTGGTGTGCCAAGTCTTCATTTATTCACTCTAATTTAAGGTTTCGCATGCCAGTAATACATTTTAACGTTTTAGAAGGTCTCTTTCTATAAGTCTATAATATATAACTAAACTATTGTTGTATGTAGAGTAAATACGATTTTAATGTTTAAGAAGCTTCATTTAAAATTAAATTAAAATGCAGAGCCCCCTGGACCGATGGCCAGGATCTGGGCATTGTGAGTGCCACTGAAAATCAGCTCGCGCGCCGCCTTCGGCACGCGTGCCATAGGTTGCCTATCCCTGCTGTATTGTGACTTAACCCGTGTCATGTAATATTTCAAATATTTAGTAAAGAATTTACTATTTTTAGCTTCGGAAGAGCCCAATTCCAAATTGTGTAGCAGAGGGTCAGCCTACAGAACTAATCTACAGCATATTAGCACTTGTGAATTAGAACCTCTGGGATGTTCAATATCCCATTTAATCTTTGTTTGCCTTTTCAAAACAATTGACGTTTGAGGTACTATTTTTCTGCATTTGACAGAAAGTTTGTCAGAATTATGTGGAATGAATGTGTTTATGGATATTTATTATTGGTGGGAAACAGGCTTCTAATTTAACAAAATTCAGAATCTAAGTCCCGTTTTAAAGCCATTAGCACACTACAAATAACCCAGTGAAATGTATGTAGTCCCTCCAAGATAAATATCAATAAAATAAAACTTGGAGTTTGTGTAGTGCCACATTCCTCCTGATAAATAATTTATTGTGTGCTTCTGCCCAGTTATTCAACTACTTCTTATGCAAAATTCCCCCAAAAACGCTTTACATATGTCCTAACATTTTTATCAGCCTTGGAATAAAGACTCTATTGCCTGTGATTCTTTTCCTGTTACCTAATGGTTCTTCAAAACATAAAAACAAATATAACCAGTCTGTGCTATGATATCTACCTATCAGTCTGGGAGCTATAGACTTTGAACATAAATTATTATAACAGAGACTGGATGTTTGTAGAAGCAGCTTAAAAGCCAGCACTGAATGCCAGCAAATGATCTAAAGACCAAAGTTTGAGAAATGTTGAGTTATTGTGACTGAGCTCTGACAAAAGCCCATTGTTTGGTCTCTGAGACCCAGCTCCCTCTCAAACTCGCTTCTTATTCAAGACTTTTCTCACGTTTCGTGGTAACTGCAACTGGTATCGTGACATGACCTTGTGGGATTGAATTGTGCCTTTGACCAAGAACGTAAATTAGGTTTATTTAATTTTTTATGCTTGCACTGCAAAACTGTTCTTATCCCTTACCACTGAAGTACCTCTTACCCTAGCAATAACACCAAATAATTTCAAATTCTGACTCTTGGCTTAAGTAAAATAAAATTTATTCAGCATGGAATATGGAGAGAGACAACTGAGATAAAAGCAAATTGCAAAACTTTATTCCACAGTCTAAAGCTACTTCAAAATTAGTTGAGTAGGGAGAGAGGCTTTTGTTAAAGGGAAGTTTTATTAAAAGCACAATCTTTATCCTGGTTTCACCTATGTCCTTGCAAAATCCTCCTGCTCCCGCTCAGTGTCTAGCTGTCATACTTACCAGAGCAGTTTTTTCCCCTCACCCACCCTCAAGTGTGCATCTCTCTGCTTTTCTCTGTCTACCGCCTTGTTATTCTAGATAATAGCAACCTGGCCTGCCCTTGTTGTCCATATCAATATTTCTTCCCCTCCGCCCCCCTTGTGTGAGTTATTTTAGCCACCTTGCCTGACCAGTTTAAGCTGCATTATGAGTTCTTCCTCTTGCGTACCTCCCCAGGAACACCAGCTCCTCCTTACTATAAATATTGTATTCTCATAGCGCCTAGGAGCCCAGCTTATGGACCAGGACCCCATTCTGCTAGTTGTACAAACCGAACAAAAGAACATCTCTACAACAAAGCTTACAGTCTAAGTACCTATCACTGTAAACAAGTTCCACTCATTCTTCCAGGTTATTTTGTTCCCTCTGTCTTCTGTATACAGCAAATGAGCACAGATTTTGTTTGCTTTTATACCAGAAGTTTTTCTAATTGACTTTAATTTAAGGAATTGCTCACAAAAGAGCAGAACATTTTACAGTAATCTGGGCTTTACCCCACGTGACTACATTAGTATGCACAAATAGAACACTTATTTTTCTCTCTTCCCTCCCCTCTCTGCTCTCTAACCCACTACACATAGTTTGTATTTCCTGAGCTAACTGAGGTGTTGAGATTTTTAAGGTGTATGGGACTTTTTCTTCTTTAACACACACAACCGTTGTCAGTGTCTGTAAATCCATATCAGTCACTCTGTCTAATTTCTTTCAGGTAGTTTTGAAGGAAGAGTTGGTAGATCTTCTTTCATTCCAACATGTCCATAAGTTTAAAAAAAAATCCAAAATCATTTGTCAATGGCAGATGAATACCCACAACCTATTAAATGCCTTGAGGCCCATCCACCTAGCTGCTTCATGTGGCTACTGCCGAGGATTATTAGGCAGAAGCAGAAAAGAAAATCTCTTTCTTAACAAGCTTGCTTATTCTATTTTTCTATCCCTGTGCCCTCAATCCTTCCTCTTAGGTATAGATAGCAAGTATATAGAACTTCCACCAATTTTGCAGGGCTGGTATTTAAGAAAGCATCTCCTGTAAATTAAGCAAACTTTGATATAATCATTGGAACACAATAAATATGGAATACCCTGTTGCCATTTTTAGGAATTCTTCAGAGTACAACCATAATTGGAAAGGCAGTACTGGGATGTATTTTAGGTCTAATGGGGACACCATATTGCTTGGTGACAACAGATCCAGAAACATTCTGGGGATAATAGCATTTTAGTGCAGATCCTTGTAGTGTTATATTGCCCCCTGCCTTGCAGCTCCTTTGTTCTATACAGCAGCCATTAGAAAAACAAGCATCCAGAATTCATTAAAATTTCTGCACGTGATTAAGATAATTTTCAGTCCTCCCACCCCTGTTTGGGTAAAGAATAATCAGATTACTTATCTCTCAAACTTTTATATCTTTTTTTTTTGAGCTGCGAGATAACCTCCTTGATACCTAGAAGTCCCGGACTAAAAATTGCAGTAAAATCACCAAAACAAAGAATAACAAGTGACCATGATGAATAGATGGAAAAACTGCCTGTTTGTAGAGCTTTACTCAAGTCAGTGCTGCAAGTGATCATCTTATCCATCCGTCAGGCACAAAATAGAAACTGGGGGTGTCATGGTACACACAGGTTATCCATCTAGCTTATTATCCTCCCTCTTTTTTATTAATGGTGATTCAGAAAGATATGAAAGACCACACCTAGAAGAATCTCCTGTTCTCTTAATGATTATGTGCACTTCTCTGGACCTGGGGAAACTGTTCAATGAAATGGAAGTAAATGTTCCCTATACATATTTGTCTCAAGTTTTCTGTGTTATGTCATTGCAATATCTAGACTTGTTAAGAAAGGCTTCAGCTTTGGGATTGAACTGTTCTCTCCTTCCTTATAAAACATGGAATTTGCTTTGATTTACTCTAAGAGGATCAGCTTGGGTTGCCTTGTATTATGTTTCCCAGAAGCCTTCACCCAAACAAGTCAATATATGTATCTAACCCTTATCCTATTATTGTAAAGCTTTTTGGGGGGTAAGGTGGGGTAGGAGACATACAGACATCCTAAAAATAATCCAAAAATGCCTGTCAGTTTACATCTCTGGAAAGATGCAGGAAAATTTAGTTACTTTGCTCATTTTAGCTAGAGTTGCTGAATAAAACAGGATTATCCATGCTGCTTCAATGAAAGAACTAGTGACTAGGTTTCCTCCTGGTGTACAAGTTGCTAGGCCCACTTTCTTGATGCTATTCTATTGTAGCAGTTACTGTTCTAGAATACTTCTTTTCTGATCCCAAAGGTTTTCCAGCTCTTACCCAACAAGTGAAGGAGCTGAAAGAACCCTGCAATAAACTTGTAATGCTCCCTCTCTAGTTGGAATTGCCCAATTGATACTCAGCCCAGAGAGTGATGTCATAATGCTTATAGAACAGGAGCAAAGTTCACTCAGAACAGCAACCTGCTTCAACAAGGCATGTAAATCTTTACTGTAACCTGTTTTACTAGCACATGACTACGTGAATCTTCAGAAGATGCATATTCTAGAAGATTGGCGGTTGTATAACTGGATCTTTGCCTGGCAAAACAGTGTCTTTGTGCAATGTCATTTATATCACTAGGGTTAATGGAGTGGGAGCAGGCCAGATTAATATCTTCATCTCTTGGATTTCTCAAGGAGCATTTACTCCTTGTGTTGGGAGTGTAATCATGAAGGGGCAGTGATCTCTTATGGTTTATGGTTGTGTCGGATACTGTGGACTGTCTTGTTTACCATACCATACGTACTTACCCTCAGGTATGTCATACGAGGCTTAAAGACACAGACAATTTAAAAATCCCATTTCTCCCTGAAAATTTTACCTACTACAGTTATAAGCAAAACTTAAAATGACATTAACTCAAATATATGATAAAAGTTTGTCTCCTGCTTATGCATAATCAGTTTGTTTCCTCTGTTTGTGTGGATCTTCCACACAGCCATAGGGGAGATGAAACACTTTTTTAAACAGACAGATGTAATCGTAAATCCACAAAATTGATGGGGTGGTTGGGGGCGAATACCATGCTTAGCTAGTACCTGAACTGCCTTTACTTCTCTTTCTAAAATTGACTAGCTAAATTGATGGTGTCCCTTAAACTGCTTTTAAAATGCTCTGAGATCAGCTGGTGAAAGGTGCTTTAGAAGTGCATTTACTCCTTTTCCTTGAGAAACATATATGTAAATTTCCCAGCTGAATACATGGATTGAGTTCTGATAGAAAATACTATGCTAGACAAGGATTAAAACTGCTTATGTGTCATATATAGGTAATTAATATAATGACCACCATCCAGCTTTTCTTATGAGCAGGTTAGAAAAAATACAAAATGTTAATGACTTCATAAATTGGTGAAAACAAGAATTATGATCAAGGCTTTGACATGTTTCTCTTCCAGTTTATATTTGATAGGCCATATAACAGGACATTGGAGGCTGAAGCTGACAAAGTTGGACTTCAGTTTGCTGCAAAGGTAACTAAAATTGGTTCTTACTAGCCAAATAGTTCTTCCGTTTAATTTATTATTGGAATAAGTTATTTACAAATGACAATTCATGGACAGGTAAACTTTAATTTTGCAATCCAGGAATCCCCCAAATTTTAGTCAAATAGGTGTTTAATGACATTAAGGAAAAACATAATAGTTTACTGGTCAACTGGGAAACAAAAGGACATTTTCGCTAAAAGTATTATAACAGTGGAGTTCATAAAGTTGTGTGTCACTGACTTTTTCTTAAACAAGTGAAAGCCAAGAAGTTCCCTATCATAGGTAATATACATGGAAATATATCTGGCAATGTAGATTACAAACTCCATCCTTTGGCTTTTGATATATTTCACTTAGCTTCTGTCTTACAAAAGTTATTGAAAATTGTTTTACTAATCTGTAGTGCACTTGAGTTTCAGTATATCATTATCAGAGTAGACCGCTGCTTCATATGTGCAAGAGATGGGTTTCATACTTCTATGTGGAATTTAAATGATGTGGCTCCTTTTTAACATGAGGCTTTAATGCTCCTTGTAAAGTACTCATAGTTTATTTCATAATCTCTCTACCAATTCACCCATTTATCCTTAGAGGGATTTAGTTAATAAATTAAATTAAGCAAGACCTTTCAGCTTTACCTATCCAATTACAGTGTTTTCGGAGTTAAGTTGGATAACTATGTGAACAGCACCATCTAGTGCTAATACATCATAGTAAGAGAATTCTGCTTTTTGCAGTTTGACCTTTTTGAATCTTCTGTCGTTCTGAGTTTCTTATTTCCTGTAGTTGAAATTGCATTTTTATTTGTGGTTTTAATAGGTTATAGGTGAGGACATAGGTCTCGGTAATATATTTAGGGACAATGTAATTGATATCTAGCTCTTTGGGGCAAAGACCCCATTGCTTTGAAGCATGTAGAGGGCATACCAGAAATGAACACCAGATAATGACACACACCCTCTTAATCCTTCTGCTGCAGTAGGGACATCTCCTTTTAACACTAACTTTAGAAGACTTAGTACACGCATACATACACACACTTCTAATATCACACATGTGCTTATGGTTTCTAGAAAATAATTCCTTAATAAATAGCTTGTTAACCTTGCACTTAGGCTCTTTCGTCTGCGTTCTGACCACTAATCCATCTCTAACAAAAATATTAACATTCCAAATCTTCGAGCAGTTTACTGCAAACTTTTATTTCTGACATCTTTGAAAGGAAGATGCTATGGTAAGTGCCTTACAAACACTGACACACAGAGGTTACAGCAACTTTCCCAAAATAGTACAGCAAGTGGTTTGAGCATTAGCCTGCTAAACCCAGGGTTGTGAGTTCAATCCTTGAGGGGGCCCTTTAGGGATCTGGGGCAAAAATCTGTCTGGGGATTGGTTCTACTTTGAGCAGAGGGTTGGATTAGATGATCTCCTGAGGTCCCTTCCAACCCTGATATTCTATGATTCTCTATAAAGTATGTGGCTGTCATGACTAGAATCCAATCCTAATTCCTACTTTTGTTTTTGAACCACTAAGATATGCTTTTTTTGTACACGAGCACCTAATAATGAAGACCGAGTCATATGTACTTCACTCATGAGAATTTTCTATGGCTTGGGTGCCAGTTGCATTTAGTCCCCATTATAGGCCTCCTCGTGATCCATTTTCCTCTGAACTTTACCTACAAGTAAGTTTTCTGAGGTTAGTGTTAAAATGAAATGTCCCTATCGCAGCAGCAGGATTAAGAGAGTGTGTCATTATTTGTGTGTTTGTATGCATAAACACATACATGCACACTTCTAATATCACACATGTGATTATGGTTTCCAGAGAATAATTCCTTAATTAAATAGCTGGTTACCTTGTACCTCGACTCTCACCTGTGTTCTGACCACTAATACATCTTGAACAAAAATATTAATATTCCAAATCTTTGAGCAGTTTATTGCAAACTTTTTTATTTAAAAAAACGTACAAAAAACAAAGATACATAGCTGTTCCTTTTTTCACATGAATGTATAGCAGGAAGATGCAAGTATATAGACTTTGGTCTTATATAAGTGGTCAATAATATATAATATTTGGTCAATATTTCAGACACTCCATTTCCTTATGGGGAGATGAGGTTCCTAATTTTCTAGCTGTTTCTAGATAACTAATATATCATTAGTTTTACTCCTGGCAGGTTACAAGAGATCATATGTTCACAGAATTTCAGCATAGTGACTTACTGAAAAAACATAGATAATTTTTAGATAATATACAGAAATATACGAACACCTCGATCTTTACATTTAGACACTTGGAAATATTTATAGTATGGATGAGCCCCCCTGCAAGGTTCCAGTGACAGGTGACAGACTCCTGAGGGGGCCCTCCCCAGGGTTCCAGCGACGGGCAACAGTCTTGCGTGGGTGGAGAGGGGATGCTTCCAGGGCAAGCGGCTGGGGGTGTCCCATTTTCTCTTTGGGAAATATGGTCACCCTGCAGCTCCCAGCCACCATGGGTGGAGCCCCAAATTTGCTACATGCCGTGCAAACAAATAGAAAGAAATGGTCCCTGTTCCAAAGACCTTACAGTCTAAAAGACAAAAAAGGATGGGAGGAAGGAAGTCGTGCAGGGTTACATACATACAAGCAGGGTGGAAAAAACAAACAAATACTCTTGTAAAATATGAGACCCAAACAAAACAGGGTTTATTGTCATGAGTTTTGAGTGACTTTTACAACTAACTCATGGCTTCCACGCTCATGAGAAATTTGGTCATCCCAAATTCATGCTGCTAATACCCCTGTACTGAATCCCACACAGTATCACATACTGTACTAGGAGGGTCTGCTGGCTGAACTGTCATGTTTGTTTACTTTCCTATCACTAATAATAACAGGCTTCATGATCTTAGCATTCTATCCTCACTTAATAAACCTTGTCTGTCTCACTCTCCCCCGGTACTCTGCCTTCATAGCTTATATTTTGACTAGAGCACTTTTTTTGGCATTATCTTTATGCTGCACAATGGATGGTGGTGGTCCTCTAAAAGCTGTTCAGTGCTCAGTGTTTCCCTGAGAACAGCATAGGAATGGGGGATGTGGGGGGAGGCAGGAATAGCTGAAACGAACCCCCTCCCATTTGCCAGCCAGCATCTCAACAACACCTTCGCAAGCACCACCCACCCAAAAAAACTCCCCTGCTATTGTCCTTCACAAGACATATTCTTGCCATGACCTCAATCCACTGTCCTTTGGCTGCTTTGAAGGTCCTGGGTGGAGAAAGTGAGAACCCCCTGAAGTAAATAAGATTGCCAAAGTACTTAGAGTATTACTATAGGAAACACCTTAAATACTGAATTTTACTACAAATATTTAGCTAGCTAAGACAGTTGTCACTTTTTTGTTTGATGACCATTGCTCCATACAGCATATTCAGATATGATTTTTCTAATACCTATCTATATTTACACTCCACAACACTTTAACAAACTGATAGTATAGTATGGGTATGCCCCAAATTAGCTAGGTATTAAGACCTATGACTGCACATAAACTTAAGATTTTTCATCAGGCTTTTTATGATGATTGGAGTTCCTAGGCATTGTGTTATCAAAATATAAATAATAGATTTCCTTGCTGCAACTTTTTGTGGTAGTTTTTTTTTTTTTTGTTAACTCTGTTTCCATCCCTTCTGTATTGCAACTGTTACCACAGTTCCTTCATTATCGTCATACTGCTGTGTAAAGTATTCCCAAGGTCAGGTGCTTAAACCAGATGGCATTCCTTTCACTAACATAATTGTTATCCACCTTATACATGTGCACACATGCTGCCTGTTTCATTTACAGTGTTTCACTTCTTTTACTTCTGTTTCTCATAAAGTAATTACAAAAACAAAAACATTATTCCCAAGTTTACAGGAAAAATAATCCCTTCATTTTCCAAAGTACATGGCATTCATCTTTCTCTAAAGCATGAAAATTTACTCTGCTGCCACTTGTGCTGTTTGCTGTATTTCAGAGTATATGACAAATTATGCCACTGATGCAGCAATAGCTCTGCTTATTGAGGCATTTTAAATTTGCCCAATCATAATGTGAGGTAAACTTCAGCCCTTATTATAGAATATCAGGGTTGGAAGGGACCTCAGGAGGTCATCTAGTCCAACCCCCTGCTCAAAGCAGGACCAATCCCCAGACAGATTTTTGCCCCAGATCCCTAAGTGGCCCACTCAAGGATTGAACTCACAACCCTGGGTTACATGTGGAAACTTAAGCACTCTTACAAAGTCAATGAGTTCCACAGGTATGAATGAAGTGCTGGGCCCAGTGTGTCCTTAAAGTGCACCAATCTTCAGTCCCGAGAGACTTATCTCATATTTTCTGTAACTGTGTGGTTAATTTTTTGTTTTTGTTTTGTTTTGTAGTTAACATCAGGGTTGAATCTGGCTCACTGAGCATGACCTGACATTCCCACCTGTCCATTTTCTGGCTTTAGTGAAGTAGTTTAAGGGAAAACATTAAAGTTTCAGTATTTGTTCTAGTCCATGTACCATAGAATCTTGAATACTGCATGCAGTTCTTGTCACCCCATCTCAAAAAAGCTATACTATAATAGAATTGGAAAAGGTGCAGAGAAGGACAACAAAAATGATTAGGTGTATGAAATAACTTCTGTAGGAGGAGAGATTAAAAAGACTGGGACTGTTCAGCCTGGAAAAGAGATGACAGAGAGGTCAATAAAATCTTGACTGGTGTGGAGAAAGTGAATAAGGAAGTGTTATTTACTCATTCACGTAACGCAGGAATCGGGTCACCCAATGAAATTAATAGGCAGCAGGTTTAAAACAAACAAAAGGAAGTACTTCTTCACACAATACACAGTCAACCTTTGGAACTCATTGCCAGGGAATGGTCTGAAGACCAAAACTATAACAGGATTCAAAAAAAGAACTAGATAATTTCATGGAGAATAGCTCCATCAATGGCTATTAGCCAAGATGGTCAGGGATGCAACCCTATGCTCTGAGTGTTCCTAGCCTCTGTTTGCTGAAAGCTGGGAGTGGACGAGAGGGGATGGATCACTTGCTGATTGCCAGTTCTGTTCGTTCCCTCTGAAGCATCTGGTATTGGCCAATGTTGGAAGACAGGATACTGAGCTAGATGGACCACTTGTGTGACCCAAGTGTAGCCATTCTTATGTTTATGCTCATGTGAGGGATGCAGTCAAAGGAGCTTTGGAGAATTCTAATTTAAAATGTGTTTCTGAGAATTATAGTACCGTGATATTTCCTTTTTACTTTTAGGCTTGTGTGGATGTAAGAGCAAGCACTGTGTTTTGGCAGCAGATGGAATTAGTAGAGACCATTCAAGGGCAGCTTAAATTACCAGAATGGCTCTCCACACACCCTTCTCATGAAAACAGAGCTGAACACTTGGACCGGCTTATTCCAGAGGTGAGTAGAGAATGTTGAGAGAACTGTGGGTTTTTTTTTTTTTTCTCCCTCTGCAAAAAGTTGTTAGAACCATACTTTAGTCTTGATTTATGAGCTAATTTTATAGCATCACATTTATCTTGCCCTTTTTCCTTGCAAAAACATTCCATTATAAAATACTCAGGACTTCCATTAGGTGAAGAAAAATTAAAACAGCATAGGTAAAGTGTAATTACTCTGTAGGCTTCTCAGCTGTCTTTAGATGAAATGTACTTTGTGCTTAAGATTTAAGATTTTTGTTTTGTTAAAGGCTTTCCCTTTAATAAATACAGGTTTGCTAAAGTAACTTAGGTCTTCTGTGACATCTTGTACCTGTGCTGGAAACCAGAGGTCAGGTTGGGACATTAAGGCTTTGTCTGCACTACAGACCTTACAGTGGCACAGATGTATTGCTGCACTGCTGTAAGGTCTCCTGTGTAGCCCCTCTATTCCAGCGGGAGAGAGTTCTCCTGCTGGCATAATTAAACCACCCCTAACAAGCGCAGTAGAGATGTCGGCAGGAAAGTGTCTCCTGCCAACATAGTGCTGTTCACACTGGCACTTTTGTTGGTGAAACTTTGTCACCCTGACTGATAAAAGTTTTACTGACAAAAGTGCTAACGTCTGAGTTCTCTTGTTTCCTCTTCCTTTAGCTACAAGTCCTAGGACCTAGGTTATCACACAGTAAGCCATGCTTTCCCATTTTCTCTCACTGAAGTGGACATGAACAGCTTTGCCTAAGAGTGATGTCAGATCCCCAGTAAAAGGTTTTTTAATATTCATAGTAATCATGAGCCTCTGTAGATTTTTTGCAGCTTGCTTTTGTTTTCAGTTCTCTTTAGCTGTTCCATCACATTAGAGAGCCAGTTCTACCCCACTCTAAGGAAATGGAGTTAATTCTCACAGTTGCCCATCCATCTGGAGTCTGCTTTTTGTTCTTTCTTTCAAATGTCCTCTAATAGGAATGCCAAGTAGGTAACTGCTTGCGGATCCTCTTAATTTGCTCAATTACCCAGCCACTGGTGGCTGAACCAGAAAGCCCCCATTACCCAGGTGTTAGCATTGTATTTGAAAACTGTTCAGTTGTGAGTAATCTAGGCTTGCGTTCCATTATCAGACGGGGTCCCCTTTCTCCAGAAATGTAATATAGATAATTACATAGGCCATTTTTTAAAGATAAGTAAAGACTTTCTGTCTGCTGTTACCGTTCGCAGCAGCAAATCTATTCCAGTCACAACTCCTCTTTATCCAACAAAATGAGCTGCTTTTTGAAGCTTACTACTTCATCCCAAAACAAGTGGTTGCTGCATATTTTGTACAACTAGCCAACTATCACTTGCAATCTTTTCCTGCTGCCAAGCTCTGACTGTTGGAGATTTGTTAGCATGGGGATCATAAAAATACTCCATTTCCATAGAACTTTCAGAAAGAGAAGACTTTCATTCAATTGGAGAAAGTGCAATTAGTGTGCTAAATGATGGCATAAGCCAAAATAGTGGTTGCGGGTGGGAGATTGAAGAATAGCTAGACAGCTTCTTTTCAAAATAACCTACCCAAGAAATGCCCTGCTTCACCAAAATAACTCTGTGGTCTTTATTTAAATTGTGAGCAGATTTTAATAGGAATGTTTTATAAAATCCTCTCACCGTGGCTGAAGTGGAAAATGAAGTTGTGTACAGTGTTCTTGGAGCCGTCGTTATAGATAGATCAGTACCAAAGGAATAGAGACCATGATTTTTTTTATCCAAGTACCAGCTGGCTTGCAGGGCAGTAGTGAATTATTGTTTGGTCTGGTGCAGGACATAAAATCTAAGAGCAAAAAAAGTTTTCTTATGCCCTTGGAGAGCGTTGGCATTTATTTTGTTATCACTGCTTGATCTCTTGTTGTTTACCAGGTGAAGTAACCCTTCCTTCTTTCCCCAGCCCCTGAAAAATGCAGCCATCAGTCAGGTTGGGTGGGGGAGGTCTTGAAGTCATCTCCTCCAATGATATTTGAGGAAGAGGAGCAGAATTTGCAGTCCACCTCAAACACACTTGGAGTGGGTGGGGAAGCAGGAGTAAGGGCTTTGTGCCCTCGAGAGGAGTTCAGTGGATAAGTGGAGCTGATGCGCAACAGCTAGAAAGAATTATAGGCAGCGGCAATAATTGGTTCTGTTTGACGTGGTGCCCTTCTCTCCCCAATCTAGAGAACTGTGTGAGGAGCTAGAACTAAAATGGAAATGTTGCTTTCAGTGCTAGTCTATTAAAGCCTGGTTTTATTTACCAGTAACAGCTTCTTCTTGCAGCATTGCCGCACTACAGGTATCCATATGATATGCTCAGTATTGTTCATACACCAAGCAATGGGGGAAAGCAAGTGTGTGAGTAAATCTCTTGGAAGGTTTATTTGTTATGGTAACATGAGGCTAAAGAGAAAATATACCGTCAGTTATACTGGCAGTAGACAAAATTCAAAATGGGGATGCTGAACTCTATATCTGTATCCATTTTTGATAGTCATTCAACTGAAGTGACCCTGCCAATCGTTCCCTACTACTCAACCATTCAGATCAGAATTTTTTTTTCCAGACAACCAAATGGCAGTGAAAGAAAACAGTTAATTTTAAAGGACACTTCAATAATGTTACTGTGTTTCTTAGCGTACTTTCTGAGCAAGACCACAATAAATTGCTCTGCATTCTCATCGCACCATAGGAAAGGTTTTTCTTCAGATGATGACATTGCACTTTACAATGATGTGACCCAAAGCTATCTCAGGGAATGAAATGTCTATAGTACTAGAAATCTGGAATTGATCATTCTTAGTCTGGAATTGCTTGCTGTATCTTTTAAGGCCAAAAAAACCTACATTGTTTGCTATTAACTTGAATGATTTTGTTACTTTCTAAGATAGTAAGACAACTATTAGTGCAAACCAGCTGCATACAGATTGACAAAAGGAGCCATTAAATATGGGTTTTTTTAAATCTGTAAATAATTCTAAGTATATAAAACAAACTTTACCATGAAATTATCTGTTTATGCTCAGGATACTTACAGTACATACCCTAATGATTACCATAAATTATTATAGTAACTAGAATGTTTATATGGAAAATTGGAGAACAGATACATGCATCATCCTTTTGAAATTTAATAGTCTAACCATTTGAAAATACTTTCACATGATGACACAGTACAGCATTTTGAATATGTACATTATAACTTGCCCTTGAGCGAGATGGGATCTGGGTATTATAGCTGCTTATATTATTATGAGGATAGTTGAGAGAAATAGAGAACTAGTACCGTAACCCAACATGAAAATTGCATCTGAAATGTAGACCTCCAAATACAAATATTCCAAACTATAACAGGTATTTTATTTATGATTAACTTTACATTTCCAACTAATACAATTGGAATCTTGATTCTGCAACACAAACTTCAGTGTTCTATGTTTTGGTGACCAACTTGTCTAATATCCATTATATTTGTCCTCCTTTTGAGCTGCCATACTGCCCACAGTCCTTGGATATAGAACAGTTGCTTTGAGGGATATATAATTCTGTGCAAGTGCGCGCTCTCTCTCGCCCCCCCCAATCTTCTTTCTCAATCTTGTGAGGTTAGTAAAATCAGAATTGGAATGCATAAGTGACTCATGCTTATGAAATTTTAATTATTTGGGGTTCTCAACTATAGCAAACAGATTATTTGAACATAAAGGTAAACCTGAGGTACAAGAAAATATGTACAAGCCCTGTGTATATACTATACAAGCACTATTCATTTTCCAGAATTTCATTTTGTCTGTGACATAAGTAAAAGCAGATATTTTACTGGCTAGTATAATTGAATTGGCCTCTAAATTTTATGAGGTTAACAAGCTTGTCGGTAACATTTTCTAAACTAGAGAGAGAGAGAGCGAGAATACTTCGGCCTGACACATGCGGGTATCTACTTCACGCCCAGAACAAATAGGCTGTTACAAGAGTGCTATTTTAGGAGAAATATTAGAAAAAAGGTTCTTTTCTTTCACCCGCCTCCCCTGGAATGTCATCGTATCCAATTGCTTGTGAAAACCTTTCAATCTATGATGAAAATGCTAAAGCAACTTGGACACATCTTTTCCTGCAGTTTTCCTTATAAAGGTGGTTGTGACAGTCATGGAGCTGCTATGTAATAACCCAAGTATACAGATATGTAGCATAGTTATTGAGAGAGGCTGTATTACACTGGGGTATATGCTTAGAATGCTTTTATTCCAGGAGGACTGCTGCCAAGAAGAGAGTGACCCCAGAAAAGGACACTCCCTGCTCTCCACGCACATTTGAAAAACAATCCGGTTTTGTGGCTCTTACATTCTGTCTCCAATAAGTTATATGCCGTTTTGCCACAGCTGTGAAATAGGGGGTATGTCTTCACAGTCCACAGAAGTGAGTGTCCCAGCTCGGTCAACAGACTCTGCCTAGCGGGGCTCATGCTAGTGCTCTAAAAATAATAGCTGGCAGCACTTGGAAGTTGCAGCTTGGGCTGAAGCCACATTCCCCCTTCAGAGGCCAAGCTTCAGCCCAAGCTGCAACTTCCAAGTGCTCTCTGCACAGCTATTTGAGCACTAGGGACAGCCTGGCTAGCCTGAAACTGTTGAGCCAGGCTGGGAGGCTCGCTTACAGAGGTTATATAAACATAACCTAACAGATCAAAGGGCTGTAATCAGTTAAAATGTGATCTGGTCTTGAGGAAAAGGAACAGGTAGGGGGTGATCAAAAGGACTAAACAGCTCTTAAAGAACTCTCTCCCTGAGGCGGAGGGAGAGAATGGTTTGAGCTGAGGGAATGAACTGACCCCAGAGGTCTTGGTGATCTGTAAGAGAATTATGCCTACCAGGATTCCCATGTGGAAGATGGTTACATACCTAGTCAGCTAGATAGGTGTACAGTCTGGTTGTTTTAAGAACTGGTTTTCTCTTAAATGCATTTGTTCTAATAAATAATACTTTGCATTAAAAGGACTGTCAGATGACTGTGTACCACAGTCATTGTCAGTACGTTAGTCAGGCCTTCTGAGGCAATCACGGTTGATTGGGGGGGGGACTGCAATCCAAGGGCAGATCCTAAAGTGGGAGAATGGTGTGATTCCATCCCAAGCGAGGTGATGGCCAGAGACCTGAGGGGGGCGGGGGTGTGCATTCAGAGAGGCCAGGCATGGGGGTGTTGGGTGCAGTAAGCCCAGGAATGTGACAGTGGCGAAGTATGTATATATATTACTGAGGGATAAAATCCATCCTCTTTCCCAGGACCTGTATGCAGCCGTCTGTGCCACAATAAGTTTTGGTGTATGTGAGTGAGAGGAGTGGGTGAGGTACTAAGCAACGGCACAGGCAGGCCTCCACCCCATTGCTGTTTGTAGGTGGCTACGGCTATATTGTAGACATCTGCTCCGCCTTTGCCATTTACAAGCCAAAGTCTGAAATCTTGTGATAGAAATAATATTACTTGGTGACCGCTCTCTGTGTCAATACACACACAGGGTAATCTTCACCATTAACAGCTTCTCTTCTGCAGTGCAGTGCAGTGCAGAGTTTTTGTCTTAATGGGAGTCTGAAAAAGACAGTAGTAATGTGCCTGCAAACCCGAACCTAATCCAAGTACTCCACTAAAGATTTAACTTGCCTTGGTTCTGGCTGGATTCGTTAGTATAACAGGTCTGGTTATTCAAGGCAAGTAGAAATATAAAGATTTAAGTTGTATCTTGAAAAGGGCAACGTAATCCTCTTTTAAATTAATTTAGCAATTTTAAATCTCTGGTTTTCTTGACTATGTAATGCCTGTCTTCCTTCCTTGGGTTCACTTATCTAAACTATTAACTTGGTAAGTTGTATGCATTTAATTAGGAATGTCTATGCACTAGCCTTACAACTAAATTAGCTGGATTGGATGGTGGAAGTGGAATTTATTGAGCAACCTCAAATTACCGGAATTGAAGTTATGATAGTGATATTGAAGGTAGGCATTGGGATGCTTTATCTTCCAGAAAGAGTACATTGTGGGCTTCTTGAACAAGTCAAGAAATTGCATCTTTAATGGTTCTGCTGCATTGAATACATTATTTGCACTTAAAAAAAAAATAATAGCAGGAGCCACCCTGAGTTTAGGAAAGAGCACCCACTAAATAGAACTGAATCCTCTGGGCCAAGGACAAATATTCACCTGCAAAATCATTGCAAAAATCACTCACTGACTAGAATGTGGATGCAGCTCTGTCTTTAACAGGAAGACCTATGCTAAACATAGCCTTTCAACTGTCAGAACAGTAGACTTCAGTGTTTTATGGACTATGAATTGGTGTGTTTTAATCAGGCACCTCCAGCTTCTTTGTGTAATAAGAAAGCAGAGGCCTCTGCAGGGTAAGAATATTACCCCAGAGCTATTGCATGTAACTATTGATGTTGTGAACTCCAATAGTTTAGATAAGTGAACCCAAGGAAGGAAGATAAGCATTACATAGTCAAGAAAACCAGAGATTTAAAACTGCTAAATTAATTTAAAAGAGGATTATGTTGCCCTTTTAAGGATACAACTTAAATCTTTATATTTCTACTTGCCTTGAATAATGCTGCTTGACATTAATGCAGTCTTGCAGCAGCTTATGTTCTGCAAGCGAACAAGAGAAAACTCTTAGTCTGTCGTTATAAATATCCGTTTTGAAATTGATTGGTCACTGAAGCAGAGTTGGGTTGATATGTATGATAAAATTTGGGGACTATTTGGATGATTAGCTTGCAAGACAACAAATGTTGAACTTATATTTGTATTTAATAAAAAGAAGTTATAACTGAGAGGAATCTATGCAGTCCCAAGCCCAAAGTTGCGTTTGTGATGATTCAAATGCTACATTTCAACCAGAAACGATCACATAGCACAGATGAGAAACACTTGTCGTGTCTCTGGAACTTGCCTTTTTCTAAAGGCCAGTTGGAGCTATTAAATTGCATTTGTTTCCAAGTCAGTTCCAGAGATATCCGTTTATTACACTAAAAGGATTTTCGTTAGAAAACCATGGTTTCAGAACCTCGTTGTAAAAGAAGCTATTAGGCTGGACTTTTCTTTCCTTTTAAAAACTGCAGAAGTGATCTGTACTATTGGAAGGATCTGAATGAACTTCAAATTGAGGCAAATCCTTCCCTCCCTGTAGGTATATAAGGAATCTAAGTCAGCCCTTGCTCACTGTTAGCAGCAGGACAGCATACCTACTGAACTAGGTAGGTGAGGGAGGAGGGCAAGCTGCTGTGTCCACATAGATACACTTCTCATTGCAAAAGTGAATGTGGCTATTCTAGTCTGTAGCATACCTAAGCCAAGGGTGAATTATTCCGTTTTTTTTATTTATTTTTTTAAAGGATCTGCAGTGTGAACTCTACTATGTGGTCACCCTCTTCTCTCACTCTGGGTCTAAGCCACTGTTTTCTGTAGTTTCCCCATAACACCACTCCCAATGGCTAAGGCAGTATTTAGCTGTAATTTATCAGGGGGTAGCCGTGTTAGTCTGTATCCACAAAAACAACAAGGAGTCCGGTGGCACCTTAAAGACTAACAGATATATTTGGGCATAAGTTTTCGTGGGTCCATGCATCTGAAGAAGTGAGATTTTTTTACCCACGAAAGCTTATACCCAAATAAATCTGTTAGTCTTTAAGGTGCCACCAGACTCCTTGTTGTTTTTATTTAGCTGTAAGTAACTCAAGGAAACTCTGACAAGAACTCTTCTGAAACATGAAGTTAGGAAGAGAATCAGGACGAATGGAATAAAACATACAGGGAATGAACTTTCTGATGCAAGGATTAAAAATGCATCTGGATGGTTATTTGCCCATAAAGTGTGTGTTCTACTTTCTTTCAGTAAGGCTAAGAAGCATTTAACAGCAGATCTGAAAGTGGCCATGATAATGATCAGTACTAAATATTAGAATATATTAAGACTTTACATTGTTTCGTTAAATTACAAGAGTTTTGTGGATTTCCAATGCTGTATACAGTTAACACCATGGTACCATACCTCTTAAAGTAGCCACTCTTCATGGAGCTGGCTGAGAAAACATTCTCCTTAAAAACAGTATCTTTTACCATATTAATGGCTCTTCTGACCCCAGGAGGTCTTGGTTTCCCTCAATAAATTGTCAGATAATATGTATATAGACCTAATATTGAAGTCACCAACATATAACTAACAAATACAATTCATACTAGAAAGCTAAGGGACTGACTGTCATGCACTAAACTGCATGTTCCTAAATTGTTTTTACCTACAACGTTGTTTTAGTAAGTTGATTTGATTTTTCTGCTTGTTTTCATAGGCACTTAAAATAAGAGAGAGCTGCAATTGCCCCTCTCTTCCTGGACCAGACCCTCGCCTCATTTTCAAACGTAGCATGCAGCATCTTCTGGAAACATCTAAGGATAAAGAAGGCCAGAATGCTACTGAGCATGATCTTGCAAAGCCAAAAGTGGACTTTCCTTCTGTTCAAAAGGAGGAAAAGATTCCGATAACTCTTGCAGTTAAAAAGGAATCAACGAGCTGAGGGGAAAAACATTCCCCTGAAAAACTTTACAAACAGTTCACTGAACAGATTTTTTTTCCCTGCAAGCCTTTTGATCCTTTTGGAATGATAAAATGGACAGACAGCTACAAATCATGTTTGTACCTCCATGGTGCCAAAAATCTATTGAGGGGAAACTTGTTTCTCTGTATTACAACGTAGATCAAGCCACCAGTATTCTGTGTTCTCGAACTTCTGGTGATCTCCCACTCAGTGCAATGAGGAACTCTCCCCACATACAGAGAGCGGTGTATTGGAGTTGAGACTTTTATTCAAGAAGGGATGCCAAACATAAATCACTTCAGTTGGAGGGCAAAAATCTCTGTACAATCCATTCACACCAATAGAAAAGAAGCAATAAAATGGCCAGTGGGCTGTACATACATCCACCCAATTGGATTGTTTTCTGCTGGGATTTTTCTTATTAAATATCTTTTAAAGGCACTTTAGAGTATGGGCTGTTTCAGCATTTCACTTCAAAGTAATCCAAAAGGGTTGTGCAGAATTATATTTAAAAGTGAAGTCAGAAAACATACAAGGGAACCTTTTTCCTTTTAAAAATCGGTAAGAACTGTCACTTGTAGCACTGGGATATTTTGCAAGTGATTGCTTTAAATGGTGTCTCGTTAATAGAGCAAGATGCTTCTTCAACAGGCAGATTTGCTTCAGAGGCAGTTGGTCTGGACAGATCAGCGCTTGAATATTAGTGATTGGTGCTCTATAAATACATTAGGTGGTCAGACCTTATAGAGAGAGAGAATCATAGAATATCAGGGTTGGAAGGGACCTCAGGAGATCATCTAGTCCAACCCTCTGCTCAAAGTAGAACCAATCCCCAGACAGATTTTTGCTTATGAAGCTTCTAAGCTATACAGATGATGCATCCTACTTCAAAAGTTTTTGTCCTTAGGAAACTGCCATCTAATGCTAGTTTACAAGTCTGCCTCTCAAGTCTGTCCCTCTTACAGGGGAGATGATTACTTGGAGTTGCCGGGGGAGGAATGGATGATGCGTGTAGTTCCCAGTGCAAGGCCTTGGTTGGAGTTGATCAGGTAAAGAAGGAAACTTGAAGGAGATGCCTCCAAAAGGAAGCTTGGGAAGATATGTGAGACTATGCCTCTGCCCCATTGTACAGTGAGCTTCTCAGATTGAATAGAGGGATGTGACCTCTTCCCCCTCATTGGCACACCTACTTGGGCATCCCTAACGCCAAATGTGATTTGAGGAGCCCCTCATCAGGGTTTATATAGGTGGAAGGCAGAAGATTTCTCTGTTCCTTCAACTCATGTACATTTGGGGAGCCAATCTTCCTTCGTTTCCTTGCCAGCCGGGGGTTAAACTAGCAGGCTTGCAGCCTCATTTGATGAGGTTGGGAAAAGGTCCAGAACCAGATAGAGCTTTGTAATATGAAGCTAAGAATCCCTTCCCCAGGAAGCTCCCTGCTACAAATTTATTTTATTCTTTGTCCTCTCACGATGGACTGACCTTTCCTCCCTTTAGCTAGGGCTTCCATGAAGCACAGCCAGCACATCATGTTTATTTTCAGCTGGTTGATAGGCTCTTAGTTTCCAATTCATGAAAATATAGTGTGCTAGTCTTACTGGACTAAAAGAATGATACAGTGAACAGAAGAGGAAGAAATCCCTTTCTTGTATTGATTTGAAATGCATGATCTAACTACAGTATGTATTATTTTGGGATCTGTTTTTTATTAAAGTTCAAGAAGAAAATTATTGATGCTTTCCTACGTGGTAAGAGGGAAAAGTGCAGGATTTTATTAAGATGTTTGACAATGTGCATCACATCATGGTACAGATGGCATTTGAATGATCCTGTTCATTATAAAGTGGAGAACTGTGAAATTTTTGAATGCATCACACACAGCACAATTTCTTTTCCTTTTAATTTCGTTTGAATGCAAACTTTTTTGAAAAGACCATATTCAGCATTGGTTTGTAGGCACAGAGTCTGAAAAAGAGTTTGAACAATAGTTTATTTGCTGACTTAACCCAAAGAACTTGGGTCCTTCGAGCCATCTAACATTTCTGTTTGGGGGTGAAGTGGCTGTACGTGCAAGGTTGACTGTGTTGATGTTTTCCAGGCCAGATTATATATTTTTAGATTGCGTATTACTTGCAAGCTATTTTTAAATTTGTATGCAAGACGCCACTGGCGCCAGGCAGAAGGTCCAGCCTGACCATTATCCATCCATCCATTATTTTTATTCTTAGTGACAGGAGTTTATGTAACAGACGTTCAGCAATGTGTTAAGGCGTTTGGACACTGTCACCTGAAGGTAAACAGAAAAGCACACCATTTAAATTTCCCTGTGGATTTTATAATTTAAACCATATAGTCAAGACCCCCATGTTTCTTCCCTCCCACCCCAGTGTCAAAGCTTATTTTGTTATCCAGTCCTTCTGGTTGACATAAAACATGATTTTATGTCAGAGAAGATGAGGGAGAACCTAGAGAACTTTTTTATAGAGTTCATGCATTTTTAAATATAAATTTATAGTAAATAAACTACAGAAATATCATACTTATACTTTATTAGTCCATTTTAGGTGGCTTAAGTGTTATGTTGGTGAATGTTTGAGATACAAATACTGGTATTCAATAAGTAAGAGTTCTTTAAATTCCAGTGTATAATGCCTTGCTTATCATATAAAGATGAGCCTGAACCAGCCTCTGAATTTGAGGTGTTCAAAATCTAGATCTGTATTTTGCACATTGATCTTATTCTAATACTTTGTCGAGTGCTTTTAAAAGACTTCTTCTTTCATTTTTGCATAAAGAATTAGGATACCCAAAGCCTGCGTCTCTTGAGTCTGCCTCTTGTTAGCCTTGTGTGTCTAAGTGCTTTTTAAAACCTATACACTGCATTTGCCTAAGCCCCTATAGAATTTTTGTTTAAATATTTAAAAATACTTTCTTGCCCATACAGAAAATAGATGAAATTAAAAGATGTTATTTTCCAAAGGTCTGAGAGCCTTGAGCAAAATCTACACTGGCCCTTTTCTTTTATTTGTTAAAGAAACTGTAATTCTAAATCCTTGTGGAGTTAATTTTAAAATATACTTCCACTAGGAAAAATATTGCAAGTACCAACTTCTAACTAGCTGTAAAACTCTTGTGCTGCAATTGGATAGTTTAGTGGACTCCAGTGAAAGAAAGAAGTTGGAATTAAAGTGAAAGGAACTCAGTACTGAAAGATGAATGTTGTCACAGGAGGGAGAGTGTACCATGTAAAATTAAGACAAATTGGTAAAAATGTTTCTGCCTTCTACTGCCAGTGCTGCATGCTGTGCTTCACAGCTTCTTATGGAAAGATTAAGTCCACAGTACACACAATACTAAATTTATTATGCATTTATCTTACCAGGAGCGTTGAGAAATTTGACAAGCAGGAGACATGCACAAAAGTCAGTCTTACAAGAAGCCATTTTTATTGTAACTTTTTATTTTGTCACGTTTGGCATCTTGTTTTAAAATAATACCTATTGTGATGTGAAATATTTATAAATGCTGAGAAACCAAAGTAAAGTACTTGTTAAAAATGCATTTTGTTTTGAAACTCTGTTTGAAGTCGTTAAAAAAAGAAACAAATGTGCAAGCTTAGATTATTGTACTATCTGTCCTCCTGAAGCTCTTCTGTAGTGTTGCACTTCTATTGCAATACTTAAGGTTGAAAAGGCACTTCTAGTATAATCCCCAGTCTTCAGACACTTAACTGTCTTAAATGCTCAATGTGCTGAAATTTCTTATGCACGCTCTCAGTTCATAGGATTTTCTTAGTGGGTGGAGAGAGGAAGAGTTGGTAAAAATCTATTCAGATGGTTTTCTAATGAATGTTAAAAAAATCAGCACTTTTTGCTTTTTAATCCACATTTAATTTTTCTTAAACTTCAGATGTGGCATGGATTTATCAAGGGCAAGTAACTGGCATTTCTAGATCACTTAAACTAGGTCACAGACATTAATAAGCCTCCCGAAACACCTGTATAGGTGAACTATTTACCTGTTTCCTAGTGGGAGAAACTGGGGCACGGTGAGATAAAGGCTACACAGCAGGTCAGGGGGAAAGCTGGGAATAGAGCCCAGGAGGTCTGATTCAATCCCCAGCACTATTGTTTCTAAAATCACATTTTCTTTTAAACAAATTGAGGTGATTGCTGTTTGAAAACTACATGTTAACATGCACAGCACATGGTCCGCTGCTAGGTGCTCCTGCAGAGGTTTGGAGGTGTGCATGTTTGGTTAATATGCTCAGCTATCTGCACAAACCTTGAATAATCCTTAACGGTTCCAAGTATCCGAGGGGTAGCCGTGTTAGTCTGGATCTGTAAAAAGCAACAGACAGGAGACTCTGTTGCCTTAACGGTTCATTACCTTCAGTGTACCCTGACTAGTCTCTGAAGGCCTCATTGTTTTTTCCCCTCTGCCTAACCCCACTGAAGAAACCGATCCTAAAGTCTGTTAGTGCTGTGGCTGAGACTCCAAACAAAGAAGTCAGGAAATTCAATATCATGATTCCCACAGCAAGCCTAGCTTGGCTATGTATTACATATATGAAGACATAAAATGAACTTCATACAAGTAATGCAGGATGTTGCATTACTGTAGCACACTGTTCTTCTTAGAGTGATTGCTCATGTGCATTCCAATAGGTGTATGCGTGCGCGCCCCGTGCATGATCGCCGGAAAGCTTTTCCCCTAGCGGTACCCGTCGGGTTGGCTGTGGAGACCCCTAGAGTGGCGCCTGTATGGTGGTGTATATATGACCCTGCTGACCCGCCGCCTGCTCGGTTCCTTCTTACCGCCCGTGACGGTCGTTGGAACAGCTCAGTCTCTTGCATCTGCAAGTGCCTACCTAGTGATTCCCTTGTTTTTGTGAAAATAGTTAGTTGTTAATAGTTGTAGATCAGTTTAGCTTACTTGGGGGGGCTTCCCCCCCATTCTACTCTCCCCGGCGCCAGGGCATGCCTCGGTCGCAGGGGTTTAAGGTGTGCAAGAGGTGTGTGAAACCTATGCCCACAAGTGATCCGCACGCCGCCTATCTCAAGTGCTTTGGGGAGGGCCATCAGACAGATAAGTGCCCTATTTGCAGGATCTTCAGACCCAGGACTAAGAGGGAGCGGGACTATCGTCTGAAGCTCCTCCTGATGGAGTTGGCCCTTCAGCCACAGCCAGAGCCGACACCAGTATCCTCAGTGCGCAGTGGCCTCGGTATGGGATGTCCTGGCACCGAGGAAGGACTCTGCCAGGGAGCACCGGCACCGCACCCCGGCCCGCAAGGCCAGTGCCACCAGACGGTACCGTTCACAGTCCCTGGGTGCCACATAAGAAAAAGAAACCAGACGGGACGTTCCCCTGTCAAGAAGCCGAGGAGGGATTCCAGTGGGGTGCGTCCTATGGTGGGACACCCTCGGTCTGGTCCTCAAGAACCAACGCAGTTGACTCCAGTCCCAGACTCCCCTACCCGGGACGATTTGGAGGAAGAACTTGACCTCCCTTCCACTCCGGACAGATATGAGGTGGCTCGAGACTTCATTGCCATGACGGCACAATACCTGGCCCCGCAGGTACAGGGCCCAGCTTTGCAAACTCAGGCACCATCAGTAGCACCAGTGACGGCACCACGGACAGTTCCGACATCCGTCGCGGCACCAATGGTGGCACCGCCATTGATTCATCATCGGGGGAAGCCCATGAGTTGTGGCGCCGATCTCCATCTCCCCGGTACCGCTCGCTGGAACCATCGGGCTCCGCTCCTCTGTGGTTGGGTACAGAATACTCGTCAGAGTCAGATGCCGAATCTTCTGTCGCCCGACGCAGCCACCACCGCTCCCAGTCCCGGCACCGATCCTGGCACCATAGGCCAGAGGAACAACTGGCACCAGCCATCACTTGGCTACCCCAGTGGCAGGGCCCAGTATAATGGCCCTTTTGGACCCCTTGGGCCTACCACCAGGCTCAGGGTCAGGGATCCAGGCCGGTATTGGTAGTGTCAGCCCCCGGTGCCCTTCCGTCAGTGGGACGCCAAGAAGCTGGATCTCTTTGGCTGTAAAGTCTATTCGACTGGTGGGCTCCAGCTTTGAGTAGCGAATCAGCAGGCAGTGCTTAGCTGATACGCCTTTAATTCCTGGAGCTCGTTGGCTAAGTCCCAGGAGTTAATCCCAGCCGACTCTCGCAAGGAGTTTGGTGCACTCCTTGAGGAGGGTAGAGTGGTGTCTAGGACCGCCCTCCAGGCAGCACTGGATGTGGTGGACTCTGCCTCTCGAACCATGGCCATCGCCATTGCAATGAGCTGCAGTGCATGGCTCCAGGTTTCGGGTATCCCACCGGAGGTCCAGAACACCATACAGAACCTCTCCTTTTACTGTGAAGGCCTGTTCGCTCAAAACATGGATATGGGCTTACATAGCCTAAAGGACTCTCGGGCGACAATGAAGTCTCGGAGGCTACACACCCCAGCACCTCAGAGAAAGCCCTTTAGACCTCAGCCCCTGTCCCGCTTCTACCCTGGGTCTCCTAGACGAGATCCATCAAGGAGAAGGGGCAGGAATAATAAGAGGCGCCCACTGCAATCCTCCTCGGGCCAAGGCCAGGGTTCAGCCAAACAGCCCCCTGGCCCCAAGCCTAACTTTTGAAGATGCGCCCGAGGACGGTGCACCAGTCGTCATCTTGGATCCTCCCCCCTCACCTTTGTGAATAGACTCTCCCGCTTCTACCGTGCTTGCTCTCAGATCACGTCAGACCGCTGGGTCCTCAGCACGGTAGGGGCTGGATATTCTATCCAATTCTGTTCCCTCCCAGCCCCTTCCCCGTCCCTCTTCAGGGACCCCTTTCACGAGCAACTCCTTTTGCAGGAGGTGCAATCGCTCCTAGCTCTAGGGGCAATAGAGGAGGTTCCTCAGGAATTCAGGGGTTCTACTCTCACTCTTTCCTCATCCCCAAGGCCAAGGGCGGGCTTTAGCCTATTCTGGACTTACAAGACCGCCACACATTCATAAAGAAGGTGAAGTTTCACATAGTCTCTCTGGCCGCTATCATTCCCTCCCTGCATCCGGGAGACTGGTACGCCGCCCTCAACTTGAAGGACGCGTACTTTCACATTGCTATTATCCCAGCCCACAGACGCTTTCTCAGATTTGTGGTCAGTGGCCAGCACTACCAGTTCAGGGTGCTCCCATTTGGCCTCTCAACGGCCCCCCGGGTGTTCAAGTGTATGGCGGTCGTGGCGGCCTTCCTCCGCAGGTGCCAGGTGCAGGTATTCCCGTATTTGGACGACTGGCTCATTAAGGCCGAGTCCCAAGCACGGGTGGCAGAACATGTGTCCCTGGCCCAGGCTATGTTTCACAGGCTGGGACTTATATTGAACGAGCCCAAGTCCACATTGACCCCCACACAAAGAATAGAGTTTATTGGCGCTCTCTTGGACTCCACGCATGCGAAGGCGTTCCTTCCGGAACTGCGTTTCAAAGCGCTCACAAACATTATCGAGACCCTACTCCGCTTTCCCACAACCATGGCCAGAAATTGTATGAAACTATCGGGGCCTGTACATATGTGGTACAGCACGCCAGACTGTGCCTTTGGCTCCTCCAGGCGTGGTTAGCGCAAGTGCACAGACCAGGCAGGGACTCATTGGACTCAATAGTGACCCTCCCACCTCGGATTCTCGACTCTTTCCACTAGTGGCTGCAACCACAGCTGGTTTGTGCGGGAGTACCCTTTGCCAAACCCCAACCTATGCTCTCCCTGGTCACAGATGCCTCAGCGCTCGGTTGGGGAGCACATCTGGGCAATATCAGAACCCAGGGCCTCTGGTCCCATGCAGAGCTATCGCTGCACATCAACGTAAGGGTGGCTCGCCTGGCATGCCAAGCATTACACAGTTGCCCTGAAGGTGGGCCTGGATCAGTGCTCATGGACAGTACTGCAGCGATGTTCTATATAAACAAACAGGGTGGTGCTTGCTCCTCTCCCCTGTGTCGGGAAGCCCTCGTGCTGTGGGACTTTTGCGTCGCCCACTCTATACGCCTACAGGTGTCGCACCTTCCGGGGGTGCAGAACGAGCTGGCCGACCGCCTCAGTCGCTCGTTCCATGGACACGAGTGGTCCCTCAGACCAGACATCGCTCACTCGATTTTTCCAGAGGTGGGGCTCTCCCCACATGGACCTGGTCATGACGCAGAGCAACAAGAAATGCCAGAGGTTCTGCTTCTTCCTGAACTACAGCCCAGGCTCCACCGTGGACGCCTTTCACTTGTCATGGGCGGATCACCTGCTGTACGCATTCCTGCCATTCCCCCTCATGCACACAGTGCTCCTCAAGACTCGTCAGGACAGGGCTTCTTTGATCCTCCTAGCACCAGCATGGCCTCGCCAGCACTGGTTCACCATGTTACTGAACCTCTCAGTGAACAGACCAGTAGCGCTCCGTCTGTCCGACCCTAATCACACAGGACCACAGCCGTCTGCAACACTCCAACCTGGAGTCCCTCCACCTCATGGCGTGGAAGCTCCATGGCTGAACCCTCTTGAGCTTCAGTGC